GGTTTGCTTCTTAAACTTTGACAAACAAAATTCTTATTGTTGAGTCACTTGTCCTTATGATTCACTTCACTCCTTTGATATTGCCCATTCATGACACTAAGCTCCTACTAATTAACATGACATATTTGTTGACATTTGATGACACTAGTATATATAATAGATATAGTGCCGAAGAACTTGCGAGGAGAACTACAAATCAAGTAGGAGATAAGTATTTATTGTTATGTTCTTGTTTCATCTTCTTGACCTTGCTTGTAAGATGATCTATATAGCAGCATTCTTACTTTGTGTTATGTTTGAGAAGCTACTCAATACTATATTTATATCTCTAATTAGATCTTCATTGTGTCTAACAAGACAACTTTATTACTTAAATTGAAATTTGTAAATATTGTTATCCATATTACTTCTTACAATTTTATTATATCAAACCTATGCAACGCACGAGATTTAGGCTAGACTAAATTTGTTTATTAATTGTGTAAATTACATAAAAGCAACATTTTTAATCCCAAATGAATTAGCTTTGATTATAATAAAATTATATTATAACTATGAGTGCAAGAAATCTCTAACTTTCATCTCTATAATTTATGTATTTCTTCGCATGATGGGTTAAATGAATTTTTTCATACATCCAGTCTATAGTCCCTTCCATGTATTATATTCAGCTTTTCAGATGGAGAATGCATCATCTGGTTAGCATGTTGAATATGACTGAAGACTTGATATTTTCAGAGTACATGTGTCATTTGAGATCAATATGTGTAGTATGTTATAAACATGAAATTGAAATAATAAATATAATTTTGTTCAATATATTACAAATATCAATAAAATGAATATAATTCATATTTTTTGCATCATTTTTTTAAATATGAATTGTAATGTTCTTGTGTTTATTTAATGAAGGAACATTAATATTTTTGTTGGAATATTCTAAATGTTAATATATAAGATATTTCATTCAATTGTCTCAATTATAATCCACGCAATGCACGAGAGTTAATCTAGTTTAATTGTTATATTGCCAACTATTGCACCCCATCTTAAAAACTTTTGAAAAACCATTAAATATAATAGTAATGGCAATATATGTTATTACCATCCAAGAGTTTTATAACATCGCACTCCAGCCTTCATATAAAATTGAATGCCAATTTAATTCCAGTCAAACAATAGGAATATAACAACAATTGCCCCATTCTTTTCGTAAGAACAAGTTATAATTCCAAAACTTTGTTTAAAATAAAAGCCTTGAAATGTTATTTTATATAAATTTTTTGGTAATAGTAAACGGCTTGGCATGCTTAAAATGTCGCTGACTACTATCTCGGCCATCATTATTTTCATCATGACACCAAACATTATTTTGCATTTCAATCCAAAAGAGGCGTCGACTAAAATTCTAACTATACGTTACCCTTATTTCATTCAACCAAAATGCAGATCCCAAACATAATATTGTACAGATCATATACTAAGAAAATAAACACTTTCCAACAGCAATTTAATCTTTTCCTACTGCACTATATAGGGATAAGGTTCATTTTATGGGAAGGGTATGTCACAAATGGGTTTGACAAAATATATTGATGGGCCAGAGGATATTGTTGCACTCAAGAGTTAAGGGCTTAATTGGAATAGTTAAGTACATGAAAGTGGCATATGAAAGTAGTAGGACAACTGTGGGACGCATTGAGGAATTACTTGTCAACATTTTGGTTTCTTGGAATGGTCTCGATTCACTTAAGAATGCAACTATGCAGGGGCAGAGCTAGGAATTTGTATTAAAGGAGGCTGAAATGACAAAATATATATGATAATTAAAGAAAAGTTATACATATATATATATCATTGATATAATATAAATATTTCAACGTATATATTTATATTTAATTTTACACATGTATAATAATAATAATAATAATATATATATATATAAAGTTTTGCTCATCAATTTTTTATGATATAAAAATCATTAGTTATTATATTTATGATAAATATTTTAACAATTTCCTTCTCAATAAGAGTTATCATTACATTGATAAAAATTTTATCACCTGTATGAGCACTAAATGACTTGAATACATCATTGAAATTTAGAGTTTTGTTGAGTGTCATAAGCTATATTAATTACTTATTAAATTTACTATTTAATTTTACAATTGATAATTGTAGCAAACAAATATATCAACACATTAATAATGCTCAATTGTCATGAAATCTTTATGTCAATGAGATCAAATTATATCAAAATAAAAACCATTCATAGCTTGATTATTTTAAAGAAAGTACTTTTTTTTAAATGAATATCTTCACAAAACCTCTTAACTTTTGTATAAGTGATTTTATGATAAATATTATTCCAACAAAGTTTGTTAATAATAATTATAAAATGAAAGCTAGATAAAATGATATCAATACTTTAAGAACATGTATATCATTATCTTGTTGAAAATGAGTAGATCTTATGACAACTATATTTTTAAATTACTGAAATAGTTGCTCTATATATATATGTAAAAGACTACATATAGAATTAAAATAAGAATTTCATATAGTATTTTTTAACTTCAATAATGTACTAACTTAAGAGAGTTGAAAATATATAACTTGACCCTACATTTTATTAAGAAAAAATTAAAAAGTTAAGGGGACTGTGGTCCCTGCCAGTCCCCCCTCTCTCCACTCTTGCAACTATGTTATGTTCAAAGGATAATTTGTACAACTAGATCTTGAGGACAAGGTTCATTTTATGGGGAAGAGTATGTCATGAATAGGTTTGACAAAATATATGGAGTAGGTTGAGTTATCAATCGATGGGCCAGAGGTTATTATTAAGCTTAAGAGTTAAAAGCTTTATCGAAATAGTTGGATATATGAAGCAGTGGGAAAATTGTGGGATGCATTGACAAATACTGTAAACACTCTCCTTGTCTGTTTGACATTTTGATCTTATCTTTGGCCATTGTTCTTGTGATAGTGGATTTCCCCTTTTTCTTTTTTCTGCAAGTTTGCAAATGTTTTTCCTTTTTTTATATTAGAGAAAATATTAATTAAGGACCGCTGAAGAAAATTTCTATTAATCAAGGATTATTTATTATCAAAACTCAAATGAATATTTGTCAATGTCGGTTAATCTTTTATTAATAAGTATTAATTTATATTTTAATAATAATTTATTTTAAATTAATAATAGTCCGTTTGAGTTTTTTCATTTGAATTTTAAAATAATTGCTATCATAATTTTTTATATTTCCCTGCATGACTGTAGTAACCTCATGGTTTTAAATATAACTAGATCTTAATCTCTCTGCACAACTTTGCCGTGGCCTTGTATTAAAAAAAAAAGTCTCCTCTTCATTTCATCATTTGGTTGTTTGCGTTATCACAGAGCCATTACTCTTCTTAAAAAGCTAATTCATTGGGTGTACAGCTCACCTACTTATATAGTTAGGACCCTCCCCAAATTTTTTCAATGTGAGACCTAATAGCTCCCCCGACCAATCCGTAACGCCTCCATCACAAGTGGCTCACCAGAGGGGCCCGCAGATTGGGCAAACTCAAATCTAACTTTGATATTATTTTGTCATGGGGCCATTACTCTCTCTTCAAAAAGTTAGCTCATTGAGGTGTGCAACACACCTACTTATATAGTCAGGACTTTTTTCAAGTCTCTCTGATGTAGGACTTGATAGTGTGCTGGAGAAGAACAAAAGTTCTAGATGTCTAGTGACAAAGGCGAATTGCATTGGAGTTGTCACGCGCACGACCTCTAGCAAGCTAAGCGTTAAGGTCTCTTCTTAGGACTGCTTGTCCGCACACGAATGCTTTGTCTTTTGGGGTTCTCCGCGGACGTACTCAAGCAAAGAGTTAACTGGCCGCTCTCATCTTGGTTGCGTCCATGCATGGAGATGTCCTTTGGTACTTCAACAGGTTCCTTACAAATTACCAACTGAGGCATTTTATCTATATTTACACTTATTGTATACATTATTTAATAAATAAAAGAGTAAAAATTATATATTAATGGAAATAAAATTCCCACTTATCAATTACATCTACAGGTTCCTTCATTAAATTAACAAATAATTAAGCATTAAAAAAATAATAAGTTCACTTAGACTTTGATTTAAAAACTTGATTTATTTTATATAAAATTTTTTGCATTATACAACCAAAAAGTATCAATGGCTTGTGGTTAATTATATTGCATTTGGTGAACCAGGGGTTCAAAGCGTCTTGGTCAGCTTTAAGCAATTATTCTTCTGATAGTCATTGAAGCTTTGACCACTATTGGCAGTGCAGTTGTCGGAGCTTTGGCTGTGACGGAGGGGAGATTATTTAATAATTGAAAGGCATTTTAATCATTTATCTTTAAAATATAATTTTAATTTAATCCCTTGATCCTGCATTGTAATTTTGAAATCATTTGGTCCTGATCAATTTGAAATACATGTTCTACAAGTGTCATTTTTTTTTTTCAATTATGTAATTTCATGAAGCCTCATAGGATATGACTTTTGAAAATAAATTTAATATTTTAATTATAAATTAGTTTTAAAATTGAATGAAAATTAATTGGGTATGTATAATAAAGGAAACCAAGTTATGATAACTTTGAAGCCTGACACAAAGTTTACGAAATATAGAATTGAAAGAACTTAATATGCTCTATTCTCAAAAGTCATGGTTTCAAAGGAATTGATAGTTTTGGAATTGTAATAGTAATAGTAACATGCTTGGTCCCGTTCTGCAATTCTTACATTTTGCTCCATTTTTATTTCTTTATTTTTAAAAACCTGTACCAAGGAAATTGTGAAAAAGAAGTCTAGGAACTCACCGTTTAATTTAAAAGCTAGGTTTAACACACCATTTGAGGAAAACCTCCTTTAGCACGCCACACATAACCCAAAAAAAAAAAAAACACATGCCAATAGTTACAAATATTGATTCAAAGTTTCAAACAATTGTAATTACAAATGTCGTATTAATGATGATTAGGTCTCATAAGTTGTAACTAAAATTTTTATACTCATAAATGTTTGAATCATTATTTGAAAGTGATCCCTTAACATGACATCTAGTATCATGTTTTGCACATACAGAGGATGGGCACCAGATCTAGTTAACGTTTATTTGCAAAATTCCATGACTCCTAGGACAGAGAAAGCACGAGAAGCAACACTGAAGCTTGAAAATCCAGAACGTAAGCAAAGAGACTGAAACTCTTTTTCAGTTCTTTCTCTTCCATCATGAAGGAACATGAGAGTGTCCAAGATTGATACATACTTGGCTTCTTCTGTTTCCCTAATTGCTTCTGGCATTATAAACTCCACCACTATCACCTTCCCTTTTTCTGGTAATGCTTCATGACATTTCTTCAACACTTTTATGCTATTTTCATCTGACCAATTGTGACATACCGCCTGCAAATATATTATGTACTTCATTAAGATTGATATTAATTAATTATAGTTATGTTTGTTCAATATATATATATATATATATATATCATAATCATAATGTATACAATTGGCCGGTTAATTCGTGTTTTTGTTTTCAAACCATACACAATACAGAGAGCACAGGTTATGCTAAATTATTCATTGAAGTAATGTTACTCTTTAATTATAAGAATCGTTGCAATGTCACTCCTAAACTAATGGGCAATGATGTTGACCGATGATGAACCTATCAGGTTTCACTGGCATGTGGCAAATATATATATATACTAACATATATATAATAACAGTATGTTACTTGTAGCTCGTTGGTTAGTGTGCTGCAAACTTAACCTGCAGATTGCAACTTCGAATTGGCAGACCCAAAAAAAGTATGTTCTCTTGTCAATTACAAATCAGATTTGAAGCTTCGAATAAGATGAAACTAACCTTTAATATTATGGCATCACCTTTTGGAACACTTTCAAACATATCTCCCCCAACATGCTCAATCCCTTCATATAGAATTCATAAGATATTATAAAAAGATATCTATTTAGTCAATTATGCGATAAGAAAGCAATTGGTTACTGAATTCCAAATTCCTAGCTTAGAGTCTTTAGTAAATAATATACTACTGTAGAATCCAATTTATCACATATTACATATAGTTGACTATGACCTTACCCATCTTAGGCATGCATAGTACACAATACTAACTTTAACGATAGATTAAACTTGTTATTGTTCAAATAATTTAATTATTCACAATAGACGGTAACTAATTTAAAAATTCGAGTTTTGAGCTTTTGAAACTTGAATCAAACAAGAATCACTCCTTTTCAAAAGTTTTAATATATACATAGATAAATTTATATTAGCAAACCAAATGAAAAGGTTTTTATTGGCAAGAAACCAATTTCAAGATATTGATAGTAAATTCTGATCATATATAAATCAAATGCACAATTCGTGAAAAAAGAAGACGAAGAAAAAAAACAGAGAAAATATGTTGGCTTTAGCCTTGATCCACACATGTCCCTAACCGATCAAAAGCAACCAAAGACCGAACCAAACTGACATTATTAGAAAAAATCAATTATGTTTTTGAACAAACCAATTGGTTTGGTTTAGTTCAGATTTTATCCAAAATCGAGCAACAATGTATATGGGAAAAAAATCATTTGAAAAAAAAATCATGTTTTTCTTTCTTGCTTGAAATTCATTGTACCTTGAAGGGATGGTGCATTTTGAATGACTTGGGGCAGATCAAAATTGATGCCCTTAATTGAAGGATACTTAGAGACAATCATTTTAAGGTTTTGACCAGTTCCACCTCCAACATCAACAAGTGTTGATATTCCCTCAAATCCTTTGTATATTTCCAATATCCTTCTCATCTCTATATTGCAAACGTTGGCCATTGCTTTGTTGAAAGTTTTGTTCCATGTTGGATCTGTCTTTGCGTATTGGTACATTGGCATTCCATGAATTTTCTTGAACAAGTCATTGTCTTCGTCTATTATTGCATCCTTAAAGTTGACCCTACGGACATCAAAAGGAATATCAATCAACAACCATCAATATTTTTTTAATACAGGGCCACGACATAAGTAGTAAGTGATTAGAGCTAAAAAAAAGTCTTGCATCCTAGAGGTGGATAATGTATATTCATTGTGATCATAAGTGACAATAAAATCCTGCATTAATAAATCTCTACTCTTTCTAATAGCTCTGTAAAGAAAGTGATTCGGGGAGAATTCGTTATGGATAAGTGTTGGGATATCCATCAAATCAGTGAACATTAGTAATTTTGCTCCGTACTTGGTTGAAGTACATTGTGTTTTGTAGAACCCTTGAACCAATTGCTATGTTCGTCTCGTATTAGACCACCACATGTCGCACTCCTATAAGGAGTAACAGAGTTATCAAAATTAAGTATATTTACATTTTAAAATTGCGAGGGTCATCATGATTTGGTCACAAAGGTTCATTTTTCCCCCTTTTATATAGTTTAAAATTTTCCATTGACTTAGTCATACAATAAATTGAAACATACAAAAAATTTGTACTCCCTCTATATATTTTCAAACAATTGTCACTTTAATTATTATATTAATAAAATATAAATTATTTTTCTTGACCATTTTACCCATCAATTTAATGGAAAAAAGATAGAGACCTGTACTTGTTTGGAAACCTATTCATGAGAACAATTTTTGTTCTTTAAAATCAAAAAATTAAAAAAACACGTTTAGTAATATGTTTTTGACAACTTGTTTTAGAGGGGGAAAAATTGAATGGTGTTTCAGAGAAATAAAAAAGGAGACCACCTAAATGATGTTTTGGTGGTATTGTTTTTTAGAACAAAAGAAAGGCGGAGAGCAACTTGTTTTTATTAATGGAATTGCCGCAAAAAATGTAAACTTCATTCCCTCCTCTAGACTCACGTGACCACAACACAAACTATCCTTTTCTCCCCTCTTTGCCATAACCATCCAACCGGCCGGTTCGCCGGAATAATAAATACATGTAAAAATCATGCTAATATTAATCATGTAAAACAATTTAATCAAACAAGATTTTTTTTTTTTTTTTTGGTTTTGAGTTCTCAAAACATGAGAACTAGTTTAGAGGACAATTTATCAAACAAATTTTTAAATTTTTTTTATATATAATTTTTTAGAACAATTATTCAAATAATTTTTTTTAAAATTTTTTATTCTCATAATATGTTTTACAAAATATTCAAAATAATAAAATAAAAAAAATCTCAAATACAACAATTTCAAACAGGCCCTATGTTTTTTTGACCCCGAAGAGATAGATACCTTATCTTTAAGTAGAGCAGTGGCTTAAGGTAGGATATGGATAAAAGACAGTTAGAACCTGAAAACATCCCAATTTTCAAAGCTCTAAACAATTCATAGATAAGTGTAAAGAATATTCACCCCAAATCTTAAGAATAGATTAGATTGACTTGGAGAAATCAAACAAATAGGGTTTGTTCAATGTTCATCATTAATTCATTAGATCAAATGGTAGAAATTGTTTTTAATCTCAAAACCAGATATTAACAGTAAAATAATAAACTTACCAAGCTTGCATGAGTGCAGGATGAGAGAAGATTGGTACGAATCCCAAGGATCCACTCACAAGGTGCTTGCCAATGGAAGAAATTGCATAAACTCTCTCAGTGTCACCGTCTTCGTTCTCACGAACCGAACAACTCAGAAGGGAGTGACTCGCGAGAAGCCTCAAGAGCCGATCGATTCTGAGAGCCAAGTCTCTGTGTTGAGATGAACTTGGAAGCCGAGAAGCCACCTCAGAAGCTGACACGCGTCTTCCTCCTCCTTCCTCGGCGATGATGTCGAACAAGTTCAGTTCTATGGCCGCGTTCAGAGCTGCCGAGAAGATCTGGCTGCTACGAAGAAGAAAGGCTGAAAGCACAGACAAATCTTCTTCTTCTTCGTTCACAGTCTTTGGAATCTCGTCATCCTGTTTCTCTTTGGAATCTAGCAAATCCATCTATCGTAGTTTGATTGTTGTCTTTCTCGATCGATCTCTCTATTTCTCCTGCTTTTGTATTGAAAATTTTTTCAAACATGAGCCTCGCTGTATAATTACATTTTTGACCCTGTGGTCTGATTCAAAGCTCAAAGGTCACAAGGTACAACTGCCTGTGTTAAGCACAGCTGTACAGGCACAGGTAATTAACGGAAATTTAGCCGCACACAAATATTTAGACATACGACTCAAATTTAAAAATGGTTAAATTATATTTTTGCTCTTGAAAACTATTTTTCTAGTATGCTAGATTATTCCATTTATAGGACAGATAATTTTCTAGTATTCTAAAAAATAGAGTATTTATTGTAACAATTTTGTCTTAAGATAATTAAATGTAGCATATTCTCCCCCCCCCCCAAACACTATGCTACATTTTAATTATTTTAAAGATAAAATTGTTATAGGATAAATAGTTTAAGACATTGAGTGCTCTTCAAAAAAAAGTTCTAAAACAAAATGCACCCAAATCTATCTAGTACAACAGGTAACATTTTTTTGTCAAACTTTAGGGTATTTAACGTTAGAGTAAAATATGTTATGTTTTAATTATTTTTGGAGCAAAATTGTTACAACAAATAATTTGAAATATTGAGTGCTCATCAAAAAATAATTTAAGAATAAAAATACACCTTAACCCATTTTACAAATAAAGCTTGTAGGGGACTATAGTCCTTGAAATCATTAATAAATCTTTTATAATATATACTTTGAAAAAGAGTATTAAAAAAAGGTAGAGCATTTTGATATTTTTTTTAATAATATATTTCTCTTGTCATATTTATAGGAAAAAAATAAAGTATTTATTTTAATCATATTTCTAAGGCACGTACTTCAATAATTATTATGTCCATCTTTATTCTTTTACCTTTGGTTAAATATTGAAAAAATTATTAACTGCTATATTATTTTATTTTTAAAATATATATATTTAATAAGGATAAAATTAAAAACTTGTTAAATTTTTAAACATAATTAATGAGATTTAATATTTTTCTTGATTTAGGTGAAAATGTTGATTAAGGAGGGGAAGGGGCCTCTCCATTTTTTATCATCATTTTTCCTCTACTTTCATAATCACGACCATTTACCAAATCTCTGACTAAAACAAATAATAGTTATTATTAGGAAGTAGAAGAAAAATGATGATAATGAAATAGAGTGACTATTAAGCTAGGATGCCAAAGCAACAAGCAAGAGAAAGCACTGTAGAATCGAAGAACTTTCGACGCGTCCTAATTCTCCATCCGATGTTCGAATGATGTGATCTAGGTATCTACAAAAAACTCTTTATATAAACTAGCTAATGGCACTAGTTTCACTTCTAAAACAACTCATATCAGGAAGTTGAACATCGAAATGTATTTTAACCACTTTTTTCACAACTTTCACTCAAAATGGATGTCCAAAAACCCTCAACATATGCCAAAAGCTTTTCCTAATACTTGAACCATGTCCATTGGACTTAGGACTACCAATATAACATGTCACCTATGCTTAAACTATAGTATAACAGAAATTCATTCCTCAACCCTTTTTTACCAAAAACAGAGGGGGAAGCAAATTTTCTACTGCATTGCACCCAAATCAATCAAAACATATTTAAATATTCACTTCTACACTTGAACTAGTATTTTAGCCTTATAAACATATATATTTTAACATACACAAAAATTAGAGTCCAAAATACAAATCAGACATTTGCAATAAAATAGTGTAAGTGAGATGGCATGCAACTTACAATTGGCATCATATACTATTACACAAAGTAAATCTAAACTAGATGCATATAGTACAAATATGCTAATTCCTAGCCTCTTGAGTCTTTTTCCTCTCAGCATCAGAGCTAGAGCCTGAAAAGTGTTAAATGAAAGGGGTGAGTCTAGTCACTTAGTAATTAAGGTAAAACTTACCCTATACAGTTATAGATCAATCATAAATCAAATACATGTATAAAAAACCAAATATGTAAAATATGCTCACACATATCATAACTTATCATTTCCCACTTAACAATATCTTTATCTCATATATACTAAGTGTATTGCCACTATATTCTCATATATGTGACCATGACCCATTATTCACACGACTTGCTACAATTTAACACGTGTGACACGTTATATATTTATTTAGGCAATGATCAACCAACCTTATATCCTCCTTATTTCCTTAAACCAAAACTGTGGGACACTGATTAGGTCTCCATCCATGTGACTGGACTACCTAAGCTCACTAATCATGAGGTGTGACCCGACCAAAGATCACATGACTCACTCTCGGACCACGGCTTCCCCCATTCTCAAATCTTTGGGTTGTCTCATACCCTAAACTATTTTCCTCATTGAACCCGTGGAGATAGTTAGGTTTTAATCACTCGATAAACTATGGGATAGTCCTGAACAAATTGTGGGACAAGGCTATACCCCCGTGCACTGTAGAGCAGTTTAAATACTATATGAATTTTTCTCTACTCTCAATCCCTAGGCAAACTCCCGCCACTGATTATGCCATGATCAATATTCACTCATTTATACATTTTCATTTTTATTTACTCATTATCACAGCAATCACGTTGGGCTCACAACCGTGCACTACTCAAGTATGTATTTTCATCATTTTCTCAACATTATTCTCACTTATCTCAAAATTCATTTCTCATTAACACATGATTACCTCTACACAACATCACGTTCATTTTTCAAAAGCATAAACATGTTCATATTTTGAAAACTCTCTTGACTTCATAGTTTGCATTTCAAGCCAAAAATAGCATTATGCACATTCAAATTTTCATATACTCATTGAAACTAATATATGGTTTCACATTGAAAATCAATCCCATGCATGTAACATTCACAATTTACATTTAATAATCAATTAACATATAGCTACCTAAAATAGGGTTCTCCCAGTTATCTCAAACTTTTGAGAGGTCAAAAATTTACCCCCAATCTACTAGCTTCCAAGCTTGAATTTCTAATCCAATAGGTGACTAAGAGCCAAAACTACAATCAACCAAGTTGAATTCTCATTAACATTACTAATTCAAGCATTAAACCCTCAATCTCACTTTAAATTGCCCAATACTCACCCCACAAGAGTTTGAGCCTATCCCTTAGGTTTATTAATTACCTTTGGTCCCCAATAACATCAATGAACCATTAAATTCTCATTAATAGCATCACACATTTCCAACCACCCATGTTAATTATAAATTTCGGACAATCATGGTGCCCAACAATCCAAAACACCAAAAATTCATTATACTAGGTTTAAATTCTCTAATCTACTCCCATTAACTCCATTTGAGTCAAACAATTCAAACCCATAACCTATATGGATCGAAAGTCATATTCCATAATCAAACCTTAACTATAAACTCATAAATGTGGAAGAAATGGGAAGATTAAAGAGCGTGATACTTACCTTGGGTGTTTGCACCTCCAAAACACTCTCAATGTCATCCACAAGTAAACCTTAACAGAGCTTGGTGCATCTTTCCGTTTCCTCCTTTCTCTTCTCTCTTTTTGTTTCATTTTCGCAATTGATATTTGCAAAAAAAAAATGACCATGTGCTGTGGCGAACGCATAATGCACCGCAACTCCTGGCACATAGAGGTCCTCCATCGCATCAGAAATGTTTGTGTGCCGTAGTGGATGATCTCCACGCCATGGCGTGTGGCACTGTAACATCACTCTTCATTTTTCTTCTCCATTTGATGCCCGAGTGGCCCAACTTAATATCGGACCCACAATTTAGGGCTAAATATGATCAAATATGCTTATTAGACCTCCTTGACCACATATCATCTCAACTTACTTAATTACCCTATTAATCAGGGGATTAAAATTGAAATGTTACATCCGCAGGAGCCATAGCCCCCTATCTTTTTAATCTTTTTTTAGTAAAATGTAGAGGTTATACATTTTTGACTCTCCTAAATTGGCACATTATAAAAATTATGAAACACTAGATGAAATTCTCACTTTAATTCTATATGTAGTCTTTTACATATGTATAGAGCAATTATTTTAGTAGTTTGAAGATATGGTTGTCATATGATCTACTTATTTTTAACAAGATAATATTATACACGCTTTTAAAGTATTAATGTCATTTTATTTTGCTTTCATTTTATATTTAATGAAAAAAATTGTGAGAATTATCATTAACAAATCTTGTTAAGCATTGCAACAAAAATCTCAAGATATATTAAATGAGTAAAGATGTTCTTCTTTAAAAAATTACTTTTTTTAAAATAATCAAGCTATTGAAATTTATGATATGAATGATTTTTATTTTGATATAATTTGATCTCATTGACATAAATATTTTATGACAATTGAGTATTATTAATGTATTAATATATTTGTTTACTACAATTATCAATTGAAAAAATTAAATAGTAAATTCAATAAGCAAATAATATAGCTTATTACGTTGAACAAAACTTTTAATTTCAATGATGTATTTAAATTATTTAATGCTCATAGGGATGATAAAATTTTTACCAATTTAATGATAATTCATATTAAGAAGAAAATTGCTAAAATATTTATCCTAGAGATAATAATTAATGATTTTTATACAATAAAAAATCAATAAACAAAACTTAATATATATATATATGTATATATATTGTTATACATGTGTAATATTAAATATAAACATATATGTTAAAATATATATTTACATTATGTCGGTGATATATATATATATATATATAACTTTTTTTTAATTATCATATATATTTTGTCATCTCAATCTCCCTTAATAAAAATTTCTGGCTCTGCCCCTGGTTGCCCCCCTCTCAAATCAAACCATATGAAGTGCTTGATCTGTCTTAATTTATAAGACATAAAAAAAATTACATATACTAATAAAATTTATTAAATACACTTTACAATCTTACTGTTTTAAAACAAAAAAAATTTTAAAAATACATTTCATCTAATACTCTATTTATTAAAAAATATTAAAGGAAGAGAATATATGAAAAGGAAAATATTAAAAAAAATATCATTAGTGAAGCCTTATTTTTATCAAAATGTTTAATAATTTGAGATGTCAAATCTTCTTAGTA